GACGTACTTCCCCAGGACCTTGCCATGCACGGTGTCCACCAGAGGAGGCGAGGACGGGTGACCTGCTGGACATCGAGAGGAAATGAGGACACATCAGAGGTGCAAGGCTTGACCTGGATTGCAGGTGAGTTTTCCCACTTTTTAGGCATGTCACCTTGAGTAAGTCACCTAAGCCCTCCAGGCCTCGGTTTCTCCTTCTGTGAAAAAAGGGGTGAGGGTCACTGTCCTTCCTAACTCACAGAGGGGTTTTAAGAAGCAAATTGGAATAGGAGGTGGAAAAGCACCCAGTCAGAAATAAATGCAAGAAGGAGAGCTGCTGGGAAAACAAGTCACTTAGTCTCCTGTGGGGAGTTAGCTATGCTCCCGGCAAAAAATCGGGTCCCTTAGTTAGGGGCCGTCACAAAGGATAAGAAAATAATAGAAAATGGAAAATAACAGAAATAAAAGAATACACAGAGACAAAGGTATAGTTTTATAGATTTATAAAGACAAAAAGCAAAGCGGGGATACTCAGGGGTCCTTATGCTATTTCCGTGAATCGTAAGGCTATGAGTGAAGTTTTACATGGGTACTTATAGGTACAGTGATCGGTTGCCAGGGGTAAAGATTTACATAATAACAGGTAGTTCGTTTTAAGTTAAAAGTATTTCAAAAGGCTTCTATAGATCCCTTAACTAACTCTATCAATGTGAACAAATGGTTACAAAATCTTTCAAGGACAAACTTCTAAGTTCTAAGATAAAGCTATCACTTAACAGAAGGGTTAAACAGAGATATAGTGGCTCCATATTTTTTTATCTAGTTATTGCAAATGGAGACAGGTAGTCAGAAGTCAAGCAGGAACTATCCCTTGGGCTAATTGTTTTTAGCCACAGGTATCTGTCTCTTGGGCAGACACTCTTTGATCAGCTCTCATCCTATTCCATGCAGACCCTGCTTTATCCTTCAAAGCAGGTGAGAACCACAGGTTTGAGACTGCAGCCTCACCTTGGAAAGCAGTTGCTACTGACCTTTGAGACGCCCTCCTGAGGTGGAGCAGCTTTTGATATGCAAACTAACACGTTCACATATTCCTTCAGGGCAAAGCCCTGCAAAACTCCTGAGATCATTTGTCTCTAATATAGTAATATCACTTTATGGAGCGACAATTTCCCTCAGAGAAGCCTCTGGAACATTCATCTATTAGGATCCTGCACTGAGCTGCATGCAGGGTGACAGGGTGAACAGGAG